CGAGTGGTAAGTTAATATTTTCAAATAATTACTAAAAGTAAATAATAGTATTTTGAGTAAATCTAAATAAAATATTAATGTAATTTTTTCATACGAAAGAAGAAGATTCGAATATAAGCTTTCTCGACCTTCGTATATTCTCACTTGGTAAGTTGATAAAAACAAAAATATTAATTGAAGGAGCAATACATAGATATAGGCCGAGTACATGTTAATTAACAAACTACAACGTGAAACATGGCATTTCCTCGGCAAGCAGGTTGCTAAAGTCTTTTAATATGAAATAAATTCAATTAATTATATTATTAACTACGTGCCGCTTTGGTTTAGACGTACGACGTAGTGGAAGTCTGCTATAATAATTTGTCTCTATAATAATTTGATGATCAATATTATTGATATCGATTAAAATCCCTTTTATTATCCTCCTTACCGGAAAAAATATTAATTGAAGCAGATAAGGATAAAAATTAATATCTTTTTTTAGAAACAATCTCGTCCGAACATACATATTCCCCCTCCGGGAGAAAAAGAAGAAAACGAAGAGCAACTCATTAGATATGAAACATTTATATATGCATTTCTAATTGTTTCATACTGATTTCAAATAATACATTTATAATAAAAAATGTATGTTATTTTATACTCTAATTTTTTATACTCTAATGTTTTATACTCTAATGTTTTATACTCTAATGTTTTATACTCTAATGTTTTATACTCTAAAATATAAATAAAATTATAACGGTATGTCCCTGCGCGGTCAGATTTTGCACGGTAAGAGAGCAGAGACGTATGTCGAGAGCTCGGAGATGCTCGTCGGATGCTGGATTCGATAAAAAAGTTCGCAGACGCTTGGGTTTAATCAAAATAAAATAATAGTAGGTGTAAGAGGCCGATTCTAACCCGAGAACTCCGAGGGAGGTGCGGGTGTGCGGGGGGGAACGATTAGCGCGGGAGATAGAGGGGAGAAGGAAGTCAGGGACAGTCCTTTGAATTAAACCGCGGGGGATGGGGGGTGAGGAGGAGATAAGATAGTAGGCAAAAGCGGAGATGATATAAACAAATAGATAAACAAAAATAGACAGACAAACAGATAAATAACAGGTGGCAAAGATGATATAAACGAGAAGATAAACAAATTGTACGTGGACATGACGTCAGAGGGGACTCGTCGCTGCCGCTGCCGCCGCTGCCACCGCCACGCCATGTTCTCATCTTTTCTTTTCATTGCGTTGTCTCTATTGTATATCTACTCTCTCTCTCTCTCTCTCTCTCTCTCTCTCTCTCTCTCTCTCTCTCTCTCTCGTATACCTACTATCTATTATCTCTCTCTTGCGACTCTCTCTTATTACGAATGTTATGACTATTTTTTTCGGCTAATTATTTTTATGGTGGGAGGAAAAGAATAAAAGAAATATATGTTTTGCATTATATATGTTTATTTTTATATATGTTTTATATTTATATATGTTTATTATATATGTTTATTTTTAAACAAATTGAACACATTCGCTGTCGCCGCCTTTTTTCTAGGAAGAGCGAAAAGATGGCTCTTCGTGGAAATCGACATATTTCGTGTCGCGACGTGTTAAGAGAGAAGCGCCGATACTCCGGCTGCTATAAATAAATTGCGATTCGGAAGATCTATGATGATGCTCTGGTTTAGACAAAGCAGTGGCATTGACGATTGTACAATGCGGACTATGTCATGGCATGTTAAGAGAAAAGCGCCAATACTCCGGCTGCTATAAACAAATAGATAAACAAATTGCGAACTCAATTGCAAACGTATGACGACGTTCCGGTTTAGACAAACGGGCAAAGAAATTGTCGATGATATATAATAGGTCATTAGGCGTGCGGGATCACTAGATGGAATGAATCAAATGTGAGAGAAAACCGTTGCATACAAAAAAAATGTGAAATGTATTGATCGCATGTATTGATTGACACTTATAATGATGCTCTACTCCTGTCTGTTAATTCATTTGTGGAAAGTATTGGTAAGACAAGATCAGTTGAGTATAAGAATAATGAAATATATATACATGATGACTCATAATTTTGAATCTTTTTTATATAGTGAAGATATTGCTAAAGAGAAAAAAGAAACTTTACAATGGAGCTAACATGGACAGAAAATGATATTTTGATATGCAATCGTTATCACGTAGAACTAAGAGATTTTGATGACGTTGAATTAATATATGATGGCGTTGAATTAATAGAGATCAACAATTTGAAGTGCAGTTGAAAATCAATCGAAGAGCAAACAAGTTCTTGGTTACAGAACGTGATGATCTATCCACCGTGAACGTGATGAATTTTTTTTTGAAGAGACATTTCATCCCGAATTGGAGCAATTCGGTGGAGAAATATAGCCCTAAAACCCCCACTTCTCGATTTTTCCCAAAATGTTTCTGGAAATATGCGTAAGTCACCATGCCAGAGGAAAGTTTTACAATTTAGATGCTCTCTTTTGAAAGAAAGTGGATAAAAAATCCAACCTCGCTAAAATGGTTTTTTTCTTAAAAAGGCAAAAATACGTTCGATGATTTAATCTATGATGACAATTTCTGAAGAAGCTGAACGCGCATGTTATAGCGGCCAAGAAAAAAAGGATTGAAGATATACAATTGTATAGAGCATTTCGTGACTATTATGATTGTTATATCAATCGTATCAATACTCCGATTTAGACAAAAGAAGTAGCATTGATGACTGTACGTGTTGCGGCATGTTAAGAGAGAAGCGTCGATAATCCAGCTATAAACAAATATTATACTATAAACAAATAGATAAACAAATTGCGACTCGGTTGCAAACGTATGACAACGGTTTAGACAAAGGGACAAAGAAACTGCAGATGATATATAATGAATCATGGGGCGCGCAGGATCACAGTAGACGGAATCAAATGTGAGAGAGAGAGAGAGAGAGAGAGAGAGAGAGAGAGAGAGAGAGAGAAAGCCGACGTGCATCAAAAAATGTGATTGCATACAAAAACGCAAAGTATTGCATTGATTGACACTTATAACGCTTCACTTATAATACTTCACTCCTATTTATATTGATAACAAGGTCAGTTATGAGTATATATATTATAAAAAATAATGAGATATATATACAGAGTGTCCCGCGAAACTTCTGCAACCGCTCGTGGGAAGATAGGTAGGATCAAGATAAACATAAAAATCCCATTCCGTTTTGTGATATTCGCAATAATCGAGATATTAATTTTTATAATTGTACTAATGAAAGCACCGTGAGATATAGCCCGGCCCAGTGTATTAAGCATTGGCTATCGACGGCATTGGAGAGGCAAGAGGGGAAGCGCGCCGTTGTTCGGCGCTCGACATCGCCACTTACACGTCTCGCCGCACCGCGCCGTGGGGCTCGCGTCAATGGTCGCTACGCACATTCGCGATTACAATAATGAGACAGATTACAATACACATATTAACACTGTAAAAATAGGACAAATAGAAAGCATAATAAAATTCTGTAAATAAAAATGTCGAAAAAGAAAAAGCGATAAAAATGTGGAATCTGCGGAAAATCTAATCCATTTCTATCATAATCTGTTGCTTCTGTAAAAGGAAAAAATTTTTAAGAAAAAATATCAGAAATAAATGATATCATTCTCTACCGTTCTTTATCGTTTTCAGTTAAGAGAGTATGATTTCATCGAAATATAATGAAATATCAATAAAGACGTAATGTTTTATCGCAAGTTTTGTCCTATCCTAAATCACTGAAAATCTGTCGTAATTAACAGTATATTTACGGCAGAAGAAATTCTAAGTTCTCTATGGCATAGTTATAAAAAACAAATACCTCATTGTTAACCGTATCAATGATATTTAACATAACATTGTGTTCTCTAGATAATTACCGTAGAAAGCGCAAATCGAAATCAAAGAAGAGTAGATGTTTTTGTACCATATTATTACAAAAAGCGTAACATATTATGGTTACATATACGTTACATGTACATATTAAGTATTTCAAGCATTATAATTCTTCAATAAGATACGAAAGAACATATGAAGAGTTAATCATGAATATTAATTATGACAAATTTTTACGTTTCATGGAAAAGGAAACAATAAGGAATGATAAAAGAATTTCATGTTGAAAAAAAATTATAATATACTTATAGAAGGAAACAATGGAAGGTCAATCGCGAATTACGATGAAGTATGACACGATAAGAAAAAAAATTAGAATTGTGGATATTATAAATAAGTTAGTTTGTATTATGCATTAATTTTTTAGATTTATACAATTATGATATTTTTATATTTATTTGGGATATAAATTTAGTGCATTTAGTGCATTTTTTCCAATTGTCTCTCCAACTCGCCACCGGGAGTCAAAGTTTGATACATTGTAAAAAATTTGTATTACTATAATAATTTCAATTTTCCACGCGTTTGTAATTTTACATCACACAAATAAAATTTTCTTAATTTATAATAAAGCCGATTGCAAAAATAAATTTACAACGTAATACATTTGATTCCTGGCTGAGATCTTTCGCAATAATCTCTTTACAGTTTTTTCAAAGATTCGGAGATTTTCCAGATATTTGTTATCAAAAATATTAAATTGCTCATTACTTTAATGTAATATTTTACTACTTCGATTTCATATAAGGGATCACGATTTCAAGATCGACCCGCGACGCGCAGTTCGCATGGCTAAAAATTATAATTTCTATAGATAACGATTTATTGTTATAATACAAACGACGAACATCCAGTGTTGGCTCGCATAAATATTTTTTAATACACTTCTGATAATTTTGAATATTTACATAAAATGTAAATGTAAAAAATATGAAATGTAAAATATTCCATTATTTACGAAATTTTTCTACATTAAATAAAATATACATAGACAAACTTATATATTTCTCATGTAAATTAAGGAAATGTAAAATTAATGTTATTTTGTATATTTTGCGTTGATTTTTTTAGATTTATAGGCTCATATTATTTTTATATCTATTTTTAGTATACATTTATTGAATTTTTTTTACAGAGAAAGCAAGCGCTATTATTTGCACACCACCTTGAGGTAGACAACTTGGCACGTTTTTTTTTTAAATAGTTTCTCCAGGCCTAATCCATTCTAGTTACATTTCTAATTAAGTAACTGTTTGAAGTGCCTTCCTTGCACTTGCAAACAAAGTTCGGCTCTTCGGGAAATTTGCCGTGTTGCACGGTGCGCCATATCCGGAGTGATGATATGAAAAGCTGTTATTATTTCATCACGTACCTCATCTTGGGTACTATCACGTTTATGCTCGACTGAAGCTTTGATATAGCCCCAGACAAAATAATTGAGCACGTTCAAATCTGGTGATCGTGCCGGCCAAACGATCGGACCACCTCGACCAATCCATCTATCTGGAAAACGGGTATCCAAAATTTCCCATACGAGATCCCATATTTCCTCTACGAGAATAATGTGCGGGAGCTCCATCGTGCTGAAAAATCAGCGTTTCTTGCTCTTGTAGAGGAATATCCTCCAAAAGTATCAGCAATTGATTTTCAATAAAATCTGCGTACGATTAAGGCTTAATGGACGATCGTATGCAGATTTTATTGAAAATCAATTGCCGATACGTGATATTTATCGCAAATAATGTGTTTAGAATAACACGTCAATATGATAGTACCTCAGTACATCACATGGTAGTCAAAGAGATAAGATACCTGCCCGGTAAGCAGGAGATCCAGGTTCGATTCTTGGTTGAGATGGTATTTTTTCGCAAAATAATTACGAGTTTTCACGACTGGTTCATGGTCGGACCCCGCCATGACGCACACCCTCCCTTCTTATTTGGGTTACGATACACTGGTGCTAGCGGGAGGGGAACGAGACTGGAGGAAGGCATTTGCTACTGCCAATATGGCGGTGGGTAGTGCCGTGCACGCCATTAGCGATCAAGAGCCTAGCGGTGGCACCGGAAAAGACCGAGACCGCATTCATCTACGATGGATCTCGGGGTCCTCCGCCGTCATCCTGACTGCTGAGGGGAACGCATGACAGTGGGGAAATACTTCAAGTACTTGGGCCTCAATGTGGATGGCTGCTAGAGGTTCAGGAAATACTTCGAGCTCTTTCAACCTTCTGCTCAATGGTGACGGTGGCAAATGCCTTTTCCCATCTTCTACGCAACTTAGGAGATCCAGGTACCACTGTATGCGTGCGCCGTGTACTCGGTGGCCCTCTACGGGATGGGCGAATGAGTTGGTAATGAATTGGCGCAGCATAGCAAAGCCACGCCAAATCCAGAGAAGGATCGCCGTCAGACTCGCCCGAAGGTTTCGCATCGAACGGTTTCGCATGCGATGACGGTCCTGGCGGGGATCCTCATGATTGATCTCTTGGTCATGCAACACGTCGAGGTGTATCGGCGGGTCAGGAGGATCAGGGATTGGGGATGACCCCTACTCTCAACACTGTGAAACTATTATAATTAGGCAGGAGAAAGAATTAGGCAGGTGCCAGATCATCGATCGATGGTGAAACCGGTTGAGAGATCTAAGCATTGCGGACGTCCGAACAAGCCATTTGTCCCTATCTAAGGAACTAGGTGGACACGGCCGGCTGTCGTTTCGCCTGATCCAGATGTTAACCGGCCACTGGTGTTTCGGCCGATAGCTGTGCAGGATAGGACGATGTTACAATGTCACGATGGCATGATGTCATCACTGCGCGGCAGATAAGGACTCGACGCAATACACGCTAAAGGTGTGTCCGACGCTGAGCGCCTAAGGAACGTCTCGGTGGCGGGTAGCGACCTCACGCTGTCGACCTTAGTCCGACTAATGATTGGCGGCAAAGGAAATTGGAGTCTTTTTTTGCGAGCGAGTAATGCGGCAAAAGAAAGAGGCCAAGTGGAGGCGGATCTCCATCGCAAGAGATTCCCACGTTCGGGGAGGAACCGGACGCCAAGCTGTGGATTTTACGGATCCGGATGGTGAAATAGTGGAGAGTGGCGGGGGACAGGAGAGCCTGACGGTCCTTCCCGCTCCCCGTCAGGGGTGTATTTTTAGAGCTTGTACCCTGGAAGGGGTAGGAGATCAAGAGATTTTCTCCTTTCACAGGTGCGGTGGTTCCTACTGGGCAGTGGGAGAAGGGGCACTATGTGCCTTTCCCGCTACCTTTGGACTTGTCGTGACGTGTTCGCTGCGAAAGGGAGGGCGCGGATACTGGGCGAGATGCCTAATCCGCGACTGCCCCCTCTCTCAATATGACACAGATTCCCCTCTTGGAGATCGGAACGGAGTGCTGGGGGGCACTCCTTCGATCCAACACTTCCAAGACTGGTGGGCGCAGCGATGCAGGCGGTACTCCCCCTTGCCACGCCGAAATTTGAAGGAATCCACATTAATGAATAAGGGGGAGGAAGAAACATAACCCCCTTTTCCCTTGGGAGTGTCCACGCGGGGAGGCTGAAACATGTACCTCTGGTGTTCCTCGGTCGCCCCATTTAAACGCCATGAAGAGTACCTGCAGGGTTTTTAGCGAGTAGGAATCTCTCATATCCCATGCTTCTTTCCTAGAGGGGCGCGGGTATCCATGAGAATTTTCCCTATATTAAAAAAAAGGAGAGATTGAATGAAGGTATGGTTCCCCAAGATCTGATAAGCCCCACTATTTCCGAATTGGCGGAAGCATTTTTTTGGGGATTCTGTAGAGAGAAAGGAAACCTTTCTATATTACTTTCTTTTTACTTCGTTTCATATTATTTTCACCTTGTCTCATAAAATTAATAATAAGATCGTTAAAGCCTGAATGTCTTTGTTAAAAAAACAATAACACTCTAAAGAGCATCAAGACGCAAGGTTCATCATCTTCGGTATTACAAAACTGAATAATTTATCACGCAAATTAAATGTAATAAAGTCAAACTGCGTGACTAATTACCCAGTTCAACTTGATAACCCTATCCAGATAATGATAGAAGGTTGAAACTTTTATTTACGAATTTAGAATTTAATTTATTTTTACTGTGTAATTTGATTCTTGATTATAATTTGGTATCTTCATTTTGTATTAAAGTTTTGTACGGAGACCTTGCGTAATCTTGATGCTTCTTACAATGTTACTATTTTTTGATAAAATTACATCATACAGTAATTTCCGTAGAGGTGGATCAACCATGAGTGGCGAATTTTGTACATCAAATAACTTGAGATTGGGATGGCATTCGGCTTTAACTTTGTACGACCATTAGATCGGTGACTTTCAAATTATGAATTTTCAAAATGTTTCTAGAAAAGTATAGTTACTTCAGAGTGATATTTCATCACGATTTCACATTGACAGACATTAAAACAGTAAAAAATAAAAACGTACTTCACACAAGCGCGAAGCGTTTAGTTGATGTCCAATTATTTTAGCATCGTGCATTTTGCACTTACTTTGCTTGCCGATCACTCACCGAGAATCTAAATAATCTCTAACCTTTTTTAGACCTTTTTATTTAACGTGAAGAATTGCACTTACGCACTAACCCCCAGACATTTGAGCTTGCCCGGTGTGGAAAGCGTGGGATTCGGGTCCTAAGAGTTATGGCCTGGATGCCGTCCTTGGCGCTTGAGGCGACCGAGGAATACCGCAGGTACTTACTTCCCGACTGCCCCGCGCCCGCACGATCGTTACGCTCCTCCCGGTGGAGATTGTCCTTCTTCTACCATTACCTTTTTGGGAAGTAGGCTTTCCCTCCAATCTTCTAACTGAGGGAAGGGATGAGGAGGAATGGCACCCAACTCACCTCATTTTAACATGTGAGCGCCGAGGGAGGTGTCCCTCGGAGCATGCTCTCAAGGACGAGGAGTCAAGTAGGATCAATACAAATGCGGTCCTTCCCATCATCCCAGGAGTTCTCTCTGGATTCAGTCGAAATTTTCCGGCCAGGCCCCACCGACTCAACCGTAAAAGGGGGATCTCGGAGATTACTTTCTCTCTTTCCCGGAAGGTCAGCAATGGGGAACTGCTGACTTCGTAATCGGTGCCGCAGCTCCCCTCCTCCCCTTCCGCGGCGGTCAGT